GTGGTAGAGCGCTAGCCTTGAGCTGAAGAGCTGAGGGACAGCGCCCAGGCCCAGAGTTCAGGCCCCACAACCGGACCCAAAAAAAAAAAAAGAAAAAGAAAGTTGAAGAAATTTTACAGTGAATTCCCATGTATTTGCCACTAAGATCATATCATTAATTTACTATATTTGCTTTATTATTTGTGAAGCCACTATTCGTCTCTAGCCACCCATTGATCTGTATTAATTTTTTACTGTTTCCATAGTAACTTGTATCAATGCAGTTCCCTAAATACTTCAATATACCTATACCTACACCTATACATATTTTTTCGTGTGTAGGTACTGGAGCTTGAATTCTTCTCTTGCCTGGCTTTTTGTCCAAGACTGGTGCTCTACCACTTGATCCATGACTCTACTTCTGGCATTTTACTGATTAACTGAAGAGTCCTACAGAGTTTTCTGTCCAAGATGACTTCAAATTCTGAGCCTCAGGTCTCTAGCTCCTGAATAGCTGGATTACAGATGAACCAACAGCATCTGGCTTAGCATATGTATTATTAATCAGAACAGCTTGGCACTCAATCTGAAACCTATTTTCCATGTTTGAATATGATGATCTATAAAGATGCTTCTAGATCTAACCTCCCAGAAAGACAACCATCATAAATATGAAAATGACCTACTTTAATATAGCCTGGGTCTTTTCAGTCTCTTTTCTCTAGGTGTTAAATTTATGTCATGTAGGACCCCAGGACCGGGCTATGTTCACAATCTACTATGAATCTGACAAGTCCACAGGTCTTGGGCTTCAAAGAATGTCCCTACTAACTCAAGGAAAATCTTGTTCCTTTACTTTCTCCTCTAGGAATGTTCTAGAATCCCTGCTGGGTGTTCCCCACACCCTTTGTGCAATACTTATCCCACTGGAGTTTCATTGTTGTTGTTCTTTGTTTTTCATACATAGTCACACAAGCTTTTACGCATGGGCTCTCCTAGATTCCTTAACTGTCTTGTATATTGTTGAAGCAAAGAGTTCATTAAGTAGAGAGAGTTCATACCTGCTCCCTCACCACTCCCAGCATTTGTCTAAACACATTCCTTTATTGTCTTACCTCTCCCTCCCAGTTATTTATCTGCCTCCTTCCTGATGATTGCTAGCCAGGATCCATGCTTACACTACTCATCTTCAGTTTTCAAACAAGTCTTTGTCTCTCACCTCTCCATATTGTTTACTTTGGCATTGTGTACTTTTATGTAAGAATAGTTTCTAGTTGCACTTCTTATTATTGTTGAATCCTATAATTATAAATTATGGAATTGTAAGTGTACCAAAAAAAAAAAAGATGCATTCAAGTCTCCAAATGCCTTCATTTAATCTTGGGAAAATTTACATCCTACCTGGTAACAGTCAATTCAACTTGTTTGTCATCTGTGCATTTTAAGTCAGTGAGAAGGAATGTTGTGCTTCCACTTGTAAGAAGCCAATTTGATCCCTCCATGTAACATCTCTGTAGTGTGTGTGTGTGTGAGAGAGGGGGGGGGAGGTAGGGGAGAAAGAGAGAGAGAGGGAGAGAGAGGGAGATAGAATGTGTGCCAACCAGTCCTGGAGCTTGAACTCAGAGCCTGGATGCTGTCCTTGAGCTTTTTTGCTCAACACTAGCACTCTACCACTTGAACCACAGCTCTACTTCCAGCTTTTTGGTGCTTAATTGGAGATAAAAGCCTCATGGACTTTATTGCCCAGGCTGGTTTTGAACTGTGAGCCTCCGATCTCAGTCTCCTGAGCAGCAAGGATTACAGACTTGAGACACTGGCCCCCAACTTAGTGGATCTTTTTATTTCTCACTTTACCACTTAATGAAACCAGGCCTTTTGCAAGCAGAAATTGACCATTGGTACCTTTGAAATCATAATTTTAATTTTTAATTTTTTGGGGGCCAGTTCTGGAGCTTGAACTCAGGGCCTGGGCACTGTCCCTGAGCTTTTTTGCTCAAGGCTAGCACTCTACCACTTTAGCCACAGCACCACTCCTGGCTTTTTCTGTTTATGTGGTACCAAGGAATGGAACCCAGGGCTTCATGCATGCTAGGCAAGTACTCTACCACTAAGCCACATTCCCAGCCCCATAATTTTATTTTACCTGGCTATTGAAATCAAAGTTATAAGATTTTAATTCCTGCCATTGTTTCTTTTAAAATAATTTTGCCCAAAGGAAACAGATGGATGACAGTCTTAACTTCTTGGTCATCTGTCATAATTTCCTGGCAATAATTCGTAAGGAGAACAAAAATAACACTTAATAGCAAATGATCAAACACCACAGGGTGTGTTGCAATCCCACCCACAGCAAACAGTGATGTTATCTTCCTGGAAAATGGAGTGAATGACCACAGACCTCCCCCATTGCCCACCTGTCAGATCCCTGGCTGAGCTGGTCTAGATAATATCCTGTTAACCCAAGGGTAGCTTTGCCACACTCTGCTTGACTTTTTATAGCATGTTTGAGATTGCGAGGTAGCCACCTGTCTGACCGGGCTTAGGAAATAAGAGATGAACTGGAAGAGCAAAAAGTAATCATATAGCCAGGCGCCAGTGGCTCACGCCTGTAATCCTAGTTATTAAGAAGCTAAGATCTGAGGATCATGGTTTGAAGCCAGCCCAGGTAGGAAGCTTATAAGACTCTTATCTCCAATTAACTACAAACGAGCCAGAAGTAGAGTTGTGGCTGAACTCCCAAGCCCTGAGTTCAAGCCCCACAAACAGAAGGAAAAAAATTACATGTGTGTGTGTGTGTGTGTGTGTGTGTGTGTGTGTGCTTGAACTTAGTTCAAGCTAGGCTGTGGTGACTCAAGCTTGTAATGCCAGCAACTCGTGAGACTCAGATCTGAGGATCACAGTTCAAAACCAGCCCAGACAGGAAAGTTCTTGATATTATTATCTCCAATTAGCCACCAAAAAAAGCCAGAAATGGAGCTGTGGCTCAAGTGATAGAGTTTTAGCCTTGAGCAAAAAGAATTTCAGGGACAGTGCCCAGGCCAAGTTCAAGCCCCTGGACTGGCACCAAAACAAAAGATCTGGTAGTAGTGCTGTGGCTTAAAGTGGTAGAACATGGGCCTTGAGCAAAAAAGCTCATAACTGTAATTCAAGCCCATAACTGTAAAAAATAAACAAACCACACACACACACACACACACACAGAGAAATAAAACCCTTAATCCAAGTTTTATTGTATAATATTTCTGGATGCTTCAAGAGTCTATTGTAGAGTAACTATCACAGCAGACCCTTTGCTGAGTACTGTTTGCACTTCTCTCTCTCCTACTTCATTGGTAGATATTTACCTAGAGCTCAGAAATCCTTGGCAGGTGTTGGACAGAGCTAAGGTGAGCTGGGTCTGTTTTACTCAAGTTCAAGCTTCTCTTTAAGCAGGAAAAATCCCTAAAGGAGGGCTGGGAAGGTGGCTCAGTGGTAGAGTGCATGCCTTGCATGCCTGAGGCCCTGGGTTCGATTCCTCAGCACCACATAAGCAAAAAGATAAAAGCCGGAAGTGGCGCTGTGGCTCAAATGGTAGAGTGCTAACCTTGAGCTGAAGAGCTGAGGGACAGCGCCCAGGCCCAGAGTTCAGGCCCCACGACCTGACCCAAAAAAAAAAATCCCTAAAGAAAATACTTAGTGCTGGGCTGGGGAGGTGGCTCAGTGTAGAGCGCTTGCCTTGCATGCCTGAGGCCCAGGGTTCAATTCCTCCGCACCACATAAGCAAAGAAAAAAAGCCGGAAGTGGCGCTGTGGCTCAGGTGGTAGAGCACTAGCCTTGAGCTGAAGAGCTGAGGGACAGCGCCCAGGCCCAGAGTTCAGGCCCCACGACCCAACCCCCCCCCAAAAAAAAAACTTAGTGCTATCCAGCTAGATCTAGCTACTTTAGCCTGCAGCTAACAAGGTTCACTCTGTGATGGAGGCCTTGGCCTTTGAACTTTCTTGGTATTCTTTTGTTTATATGTCTGTGGTCTGAACTCAAGGCCTGATGCTCTGTTTTGGCTATTTTTTTTTAAGCTTAAGGTTGGTGCTCTACCACTTGAGCAACACTTTTACTTCTAGCTTTTTGCTGGCTAATTAGAGATAAGAGTCTCATGGACTTTTCTGCCTGGACTGGCTTTAAACTATGATCCTTAGCCTCCTGAGTAGCAAAACTTTACTTTGTTTATTATTGAAATAAGGGCAACGGAAATATCTGTCTTCAAAAACTGAGATTTAGCTGGCACTGGTGTCTCATGCCCTATAAACCTATCTACTTAGGAGGCTGAGATGTAAGGATTACAGTGTGAAGCCAGCCTGGACAGGAATATCCCTGAGATTCTTCTCCCCAAATAACCATATACATACAATCCAGTGCTAGAGCAACAGCGATGAACAAAAAAGCTGAGGGACAGTGCCCCAGGACTTAGGTTCAAGACCCAATACCAGTAAAGGATCTTGGTAAAGGAATTTGACAAATAATTATTAATAGTACAATTTCAGGTTGGGAAGGTGGCTCAGTGGTAGAGCGCTTGCCTTGCATGCTGGAGGCCCTGGGTTCGATTCCTCAGCACCACATAAGCAAAAAGAAAAAAGCCGGAAGTGGCGCTGTGGCTCAAGTGGTAGAGTGCTAGTCTTGCGCTGAAGAGCTGAGGGACAGCGCCCAGGCCCAGAGTTCAGGCCCCACGACCGGACCCAAAAAAAAAAAAAAAAGAAAACCTACAATTTCAACCACTCATAGAGAAAAACTTCACTGAGATATTATTTCTATTTTTATAAAATACAACTTAAATTCCTTAGTATGAGTTAAAGCTGATTTTATCATATTTAAGCAGCTTAATTTCCTACATCCATTCTTGCTACTCTCCAAAATTAGCCATGGTGAGTTTCCCAGATCATTAACACCTTGCTTCTTCTGTCCCAGAGTGTCTCTGGATCATCCACAACTCCACAGCATTGTAAAGAGCCTCTTCTCCGGAAAGCTCTTGCTCAATCTTTCGGTTTCTTCCTTGTGCACCGCAAGAGTACACCTGACTCAGGTACAACTGTCACCTTTTATGCAATAGCTTGTCTGTTTAACACCTAAGCCATGAAAACCAGAAGAACAAAAATCATAACTAGTCATCAGTGGCTCACATCTATAATTGTAGCTCCTCAGGAGACTGAGATCTGAAGATCACAGTTAAAAGCCAGCCAGGACAAACAAATCCAAGAGACTCTTCTCTTCAATTAACTGGCAAAAAAGCCAGACCTGGCCAGGATCTGGTGGCTCACACCTGTAATCCTAGTTACTCAGCAGGCTGAGATTTGAGGATCATGGTTAAAAGCCAGTCTGGGCAGAAACGTTCATGAGATCTCTAATTAACCATTAGAAGTAGCGCTATGACTGAAACTGGTTGAGTGCTAGCCTTGAGCAAAAAGAGCTCAGGGACAGTGCCCAGGACTTTATTCAAGCCCTAGGACTGGCAAAAAAAAAAAAAAGAAGTCTGAACTAGAGATGTGGCTCAAGTGATGTTAAACATAGTTGGCACCAGTAAAACTGACGACTAAATAGAATGAAGATGAACACAAGTAATGCGAATGCTCAGAATTGTTTTGGATGATAACTAATGAAAATTGATGTTTTGTTATTATTTGTTCAAACCTCATTTTGCTCATAGGAGTGAGGCTAATGTTTTCAGATGATATTTCCGTCTGGCTCATCTTTAGAACAGACTAAATATGACTCTTGGAGAAATTCAATCCTCCATTTCTGTTGTTCTTTTACCCTCCAGGTTCCAATTTCAGCCATCTCCTGTCATAACTTTTCACTTCTGTTTAGAAAAACACTGGCAAGAAAAAAAAATGATAAAATTTTTTCTAATGGTAAATAAACAAGGGCAGACCCGCCTTTCTAAGTACTATGAACATATAGAGATTAATAAGAGGACCCTTCTGGAAACAGAAGTCATCAAGAGCTGTCTGTCTCGGTCCAGTGAACAGGTAAGCTCCTGATGCTACCTCCTTCTTTAGTCAACCTAGTCTCTGAAGCTCTGTTACTGCTGAGGGTTCGAGGCTACCATTTTCTCTAAACTGTATTTTCTCCATAGCTATTTGGGAAAATCAGGAGTGAGGTAAAATGAGGACCAAATGCAGTAAAGCTCTCTTTACACCTCCTTAAGAGAATAAAAACAAGGGAACCCAGGGCATGGTTTGGGTTCTTATTTCAGTCAGGATATTTATCTCGGAACACCATAGGAGTGGCAGCTAAATTTATTCCTGCTAGCAGACATAATCTTTTTTTGTTCATATGAATTCAGCCTGTGGAACATTTAGGAGTTGCCTGTGGCAGGTGGCTTTCTGTAAGCCAAAAGAAATGAAGGTCATATGACTGCTACCGAGGTAAATGAATACTCATGATCCATTTTATGCCAGAGGATAATGACAGTCTTGTGGAGAGGAGCAATTTTCTATTTTCCATTTTTTATAAATACACCACCAACCCAATACTAGATTTTAAAACAAAACAAACTTGATTTCACTACATAGATAGGAGAAAGAAGTTTCAATTTTATATAAACCAATAAAATCCTGCTGAAATTTGGAGGCCAAAGCTAGAGGTTCAAGTGGTAGAGTCCTCGCCTAGCAAGCACATAACACAGAGTCCAAACTCTAGTACCATTGACATTTTGTGTGTATATACTGATTTGGGGCTTGAAGTCAAGGCCGTGAGCTCTTGCTTAACTATTTTTGCTCAAAGCTGGTGCTCTGCCACTTGAGCCACAGCTCCACTTCTATCTAGTATCATTGAAATATGAAGGCTAAATAATTATAATAGATTTTTTACACTACTAAGATATTATAGTACTAAGATATATAGTACTAAGATAGAATTTTTTTATAGTAGTAAGGATTGAGCCCCTGACTTTGCATATGCTAAGCTAAGCACATACTTAGCTACACTCCAGCTCATGTATAGGAATTTTTTTAACATCCATTTTTACAAAGAACTTTACTTGAAGAATTCTTTATTTTTCACCTCCTCCTCTCCCCCCATCCTGGGCCTGGGAGCTGTCCCTGAGCTGCTTTTTTGCTCAAGGCTAGTGTTCTACCACTTGACCCAAACCTCTGCTTCTTGCTTTTGCTGTGATTAATTAAAGAGAAGAGTCTCAGGGACTTTCCAGCCTGGGCTGGCTTTGAATTGCAATCCTCAGATATCAGCCTCCTCTGGAGTAGGTAGGATTACAAGCGTGAGCCACCAGCACTGGCACTTAGAGAATTCTTCACTGCAGATCCTAAATATCAAATACATTGGAAAATCTCTCAACAGCCAAGGTACAAATCAGAAAGCTGAGATCTGGGGATCATGGTTCAAAGCCAGCCTGGGCAGGAAAATCTGTGAGACTCTTATCTTCAATAAACCACTAGAAAACCGGAAGTGGTGCTGTGGCTCAATCGGTAGAGCACTAGCCTTGAGCTGAAGAGCTGAGGGATAGTGCCCAAGTCCAGAGTTCAAGCCCCACGACCGACAAAAAAATACACAAATACAATAAAATAAAATAAAGGGATGCATCCTTCAAAACATGCCTGTGTGAATCTTTCTACAGAATGGAGGACCTCCACAATTCAAAACATCATTTTCATGAACAGCTTACCCTTTTGAAATACACGTTTTGGAATAAAGTGATATTCCAAATTACTATAGATTTTTAGGATGAACCCACTGAACTTCTGGCATAATCATTGAATAAGACATCATAAGGCAGGCGCCAGTGGCTCACACCTGTAATCTTAGCTACTCAGGAAGCTGAGATCTGAGGATCATGTTTCAAAGCCAGCCTGGGCAGGAAAGTCCGTGAGACTCTTATCTCCAATTAACCACCAGAAAACCAGAAGTGGTGCTGTGGCTCCAGTAGTTTAGTGCCTTGAGCTGAAGAGCACAGGGACAGAGCCCAGACCCAGAGTTCAAGCCCCACAACCAACAACAACCAAAAAAAAGACATCATATTAGCAGCTTAGTTTTCATTCCATTCACAAATGTGCCTTGAGCTTCTTTTTTTAAATGTCAGAAACTCCTGGGAAACTTTGAAAAAAAAGCTTCCTCAGTTCTTTCAAATAGGGATGTTTCAAGGAAACATCCAGCTGGCAGAAAGCACCCTGGCTCTCCAGTGAGCCAAATACCTCAGATTGGTCCAGCATTTATTACTTTCATCCTAATTTTAATTAAAACTTCCAGCTCCTTTTTTTTTTTGGTCCGGTCATGGGGCCTGAACTCTGGGCCTGGGCGCTGTCCCTCAGCTCTTCAGCTCAAGGCTAGCGCTCTACCACTTGAGCCACAGCACCACTTCTGG